AGTCTCTTTCTGAAATCCAAGGTGATGCTCCCTCGGAATTTGAACGAACCAATCAGTTAGACTAACTTATCTATCTTCGCTTAATTCGCACTCTCGAAGAAGCCGAGGAATGCTACAAGGCTAATCAGGGTCATCATCTCGACACCATCAACACCATGCTCAAGATCCATGATGACATGATCTCTGCTACCAACAAACTTAGCAGGTAGTCTCATATTCATCATGAGAAACATATTCAAAAACATGATAAAAAAATTCGTCAGAAAGATACCACGAACATGGTCATGCGACAGGTGGACATCAAGATCATCCGTTCAACCTAACATACTGTGGATGTTCCGAACCATAAATTTGATGAGATGATCATCATAATCGATGAAACTTTTTTCACATTTCAAAGCTCAAGCTCCAACAACCAAGGCATATGGCGCCTTCCCATGCAATAGGGGGGAACAAAAGCAAGTGTAATGGAAACCAATCTTGGATTATATGCTATGAAATGAATCAATCGATGAAGAAAACATGGACGTAGAAACTCTTGAAAGAGATGATGATGAAGAACATTTAGTGGAAGATGTGATTTGGGGACTACAAGCTATCAGGGAACCTCTAACCAAAGTCTTGTCTAAAGCAAAGAAAATGAAATGTTCCTTAGTTTCCTATCCATCATCTTTATATGAAACGTTTCGACGAAGCCGAGATATGGATAAGGTAAAAACCAAGATGACAATCGACGCCTTCCAAGCCACTCAATCAATGCTTTCTCCAATTCCTACTATGAGGATTGTTCAAATAGATGAAGGACCTTCCATCAGGAAACCTAATGAGATCCCTAAAGAGCCTATGGTTCCTCCTCCATCTGAGTTATTCATCATTGAGTCTGGTTAATAAACCATCTCCTTCATTTCTTCCCAAGATGACCAAGCCAAAGAAAAAGGAAAAAATATTGCTACAAGTTTGGACACCCTAGTGAAGTCATTTAAAAAGTCTGAGGGCTGTTCCAATGAACAAATACAACAAGCATTAGAAAAAAGCATTCAGATTCAATCTCTCAAAGATAATCTAAATCCAATGTTGGGAATTTCTCCTCTCATTCGGGAAAGAATTATCCATAATATACAGTTTATGACCCTCATGTATTTTGATCTTCAAACTCAAGATGTCGACCAACTGGACTTGCCAATCTCTCCACATGGAGGGTACTGTATCAAGTTCACTCCTTTACATCCATCTGACGATCCTCAAACCATCATCCGAACTACACATGAGTGATTGAGAACCTTTTATTCCACTAACGCACAACCCCATAAGGAAGTGTGGTCTCAGAAAAGAATTTCCAAGATCGTCGGATACAGTAATAAGGTTCAAAGCAAGTTTGATCTCGACTATCTTTTGCATAGATATTTCATATCTCAAAATATAGAACCCATTATCACCATAATAGATTCAAACTTTTGCTCTATGAATCCAAATGACATTCTCACTATAGCTGTTCATTCACTACTAGAAAAACAGCCTTTAATGATGCGCAAACAATGACACGTAATGATTTACGATACGCAAAAGCGTGCGTCCATAAAATAATGTCATCTCTTATAAAATTTGAAGGATAGAGGACAAGCATTTTGTGCGCGCCCTAAACTTAGTGTCCAAAGAAAACACGGAGGGCGCATATGATAAAATGAGTGTCGTGTGTGCGCACGTTTTAGAAGCTCGCGGGGAAATAAAATTCCAAAAGCTTGAAAAGCGAACATGCTCTCCTCTACCTTCTTTCAATCGTTCTTCTCTCTCTCTCTCTCTCAAATACCAAAAATCGACTATTGTTGGAACTAGGGTTCTGGTTCTTAGTGAAATCGAAGGTTTTTTGGTGACCAGGCCATGAAATTGATCAAAGGGGTATGATTGTTGGAACCACAACTATTATTGGAACTAGGGTTTTAGTTCATAAGCCCTCCATCTACTTCTCTCGATCTTCAGTTCCTCAAGTATTTTCTCAGCCTCTCAATCAATAGAAAAGAGTTATATCATGACCGCAAATTTAGAGTGATTTCCATATCAAGTAGAACAACAGCTCCATTACAGTCAAGGTCTCGAAACTCCATGGTCAATCACCATCAACATTCTGCTTCTTTATTTGTTCCAGAGGTTTGTCTTCCTTTATTACGAGTTTTATCACCTTTTTAATCAAACTTGATTAGCCCTCGATACCGAATGTTATCTTTTGCGTTGTTGCTTCTACTCCGTTCTTCTTGAAACCTCCCCACACTCTCATGTCAAATTCAACACTTTTGTCGAAACATAATTTATGCTATCAAGTTGGAAATCAACAGAAAATGGCTATGAAGGCTGGTTGGGTTGGACGATTCTCTGGAGGACGAGAGAGATTTGGATCAGATTATGGTAGATCATAGGGATACAGAGATTGAGCTTGATACCATGGAGGGTGGTCCGTAAAGGTAAAAGCTCCCCGATCATCTCAACGACCAAGGTTGGTTAGGGTTTCTATTTTTTTTTTTTTGTTATTTTATTTCCATACCTTCACCATCACCAATGTTACTTTATGCTTCATCTGATGTATGATTACATTCTCCTTGTTATGGTGGCAATACTCCTATGGGTCGCTCTGATTCTCCATGGGATAATTTTTCCCCTTCTCATGTTCCAATTAGGGCAATAATGAGAGTATGATGTTAGAGATGGAGTACAACACTGAGAGTATAAAGGTTGTTGCAATACATCTCTGCATTAATCATTCCATTAGACTCACTGTACTGATGTCCTCAAAATAGGGAGCTTAGACATACTCTCAAGTGTCAAAATTAAAACAACAGATTGAATTCTTCATTTAATGTAGAAAAATTTGAAAGTTGTAATAAAACTTTATAATGATGTAATAAGGTAACATTAGTATTATAGCTGCAGCAAAGTCTACAGCTGGTTTGGAATTACAAAATGATTAGGTTTCATCTCAGGAATCATGGAGCTTAACTTTATTTCAGGAATCATGTACATCCATCTTGGGTCAAATCTGAATTACTAAGCTATAAACAGGTTTCCACATCAATGGTACAACACATGCTTGATTACATTTTGGAAAAGTCAAGTTCATTAACTGGTACCCCACATGGAAAAAAGAAAAAGAAAGTAACAACCCATTTGAAACCTGATGACGTGGGCCATACCTGATGCAACAAGCTCGCATTTTTAAGCACTTTAGTTGACATTTTGTTACTAAAGAGCAACATAGACAACAGGTCTGATCTTAAATTCTTGGATATCTCTAATTTTTTTCTTCTCACTCAACTCAATAAAGAAATGACATCCCCACAGAGTTGCTAACTATTCCAACAATACGGTCACATCTGTGATCTGTTACTGCAGAGTTGCTAACTATTTAAGCTAATCACTTTTTTTTTGAACTTTGAACTGTTAAATATCTATATAAAAAAAACGTTACAAATATGAATCTTAATAGTTTAATAAGGAATTGGGATATGAAGTGGAGGATGCAATCTGAAGTGGGTTCTCAAGTTACACAATCGCTCTGATTACTGGCTTTTTGTATGGTATTTATCATAGGGGGGCACCCAACTTTTTGATAAGATTGCTGATGGATCATGGAATATAATTAGTGGTACAGACCATAAGTTTTTTTGGCCAATGACATGATATCCTTTTCATAGTTAAAATTAGATGAGCTGTACATAGGATTAAGTTATCCTATTAATCTTTTTTGCTTCTAAATGTTGTTCTGTCTTCATGATCCTTGATTTTCAAAATTACAATTAGATAGCAATATGAAATGTTGGATATTACTTGTCAAACTTCTGTCCGCTGTTCATTTTTTTAATGGTAGTTGTAAACGTATGTTTCATTTTGTCTTGTATAGTTGATTCTTTGGAGATAAAGAAAGGTAGATGATTAGCAGATATATATATATATATATATATATATATATATATATATATATATATATATATATATATATATATAAGTATTTATAATGTATCGAATGTTTTTGTGTATATATCATATAGATATTCTGGACATAATCCAGAAATCTAGACAGAACAGTTGCATATGACTTTTCCGGGTTTAGGGCAATATTATATTGAACTAATGGAAACTTCATCATGCAGGTGTTCTTCTTGGGGCAGGCTTATATGGAGAAAAAAGTGCATCAAGTTTAGCTGATGGGATCAAGAATCAGGTGGATGGTAGTTTCTACTTTATAATTTCACATAATTATGAGCCATAAAGAAAATAGAAGGTCCTGGTACATTTTATTTATTTATTTTTGAAACGGGGGAAGGGAAATGAAAAGATCCCTATAGATGTTCAATCTTCTTCTTCTTCTTCACCATCTGGACACCAAAGGAAACCACTAAAGCCTCTGTCTCCTTGGATCACTGATTTATTGCTTGCTGCACCTTTAGGTATCAGAAGAGACTACTTTCATTGGTAAGTGATTGTTTAATTTATTAAAAAAATTTCTTTTTGTGTGTTTTCATGACTATTGCCTTTTCTTACTTATTTAACATTTGTAGGTGTGGGGTGTTATGGGAAAATATGTTGTAGGTGAACTGAAGCCACCTTCTCTTGGTAAGTGGAAGAGTTTTTTTTATACAACTTTTGAAAGAAGGATAATAACGATTAACACAATAGTAAAATTTTGTGTTTAGTAATGGCTTCTACATGTGGATCTGGAAAGCATCCATAATTAATGCCATCTACACCAAGATAAACTGGTTAGTAATCGTTTGTAAACTAACCTAATTTATATATATGAACTTGCTATAGAATTATACACTATTGATATATTTTTATTTTTCAGTGGATTAATCCTGTTGAAGATGTTATCAGACATTCGACAATGTTGTTGAGCATCCATTTCACTTTACACACACATATATTTTATATATATTACACAATCTCTCCCACCAGCCCCAATCATCATGAGCTCAAATCTTTTTGGGTATTTGTTACCAAATAAGGAAAGAATGGATAGAGTAAGAACACCAAAGTTGCATAGATACATAGCAATATTGTGTGTCATTCTGTTTCTAAATATAGAATGTTCAGAGGAGGTAGACATAACCATCATTGAAAGTGTCGCATCTAAAGGAGTTGGTATGTAGTATGTACTAGTTGATTCATTAGATTAAACCTACGTTTCATATCATTATTTCTAATAATAGAAAGTTATAAATTTAGAAAGATTTGACGAGTCTAATTGCTTGAGGTACAGTTTGTTTAGATGGAAGCCCACCTGCTTACCAGCTTGATAGATGGTTTGGAGATGGTGTCAATAATTGGTTGGTTCATATACAGGTCTGTCTTCCTTAATTTGTTAAGTAATCATGATTTTCTATTTTTATTTTAATAAGAAAATGTTCTTAACTTAGAAAGAACCTATACGTATTGCTTTTCACGAAGCCCAAATACTCGATGGTCAATCCAATCTCAATTTGCGCATTCACTATGATAAGAGAAGCATATTTTTATTTGCATAAAGTATACATGTGTTACGTCTATACAGTGTAGTCATACAATCTAGCAATGGATTTACATCATGAAAAGCACCAGAGCATATATGCATGGGTTTAGGCCATAATATGTTTCATCTTATCGAGAACTTCTTGATTTCCCTAATTTGTTGTTGATGCAATTGAATATCCCACCATCCATTGTTAATTTATCCAATCTTTCATGGTTGGATCTAAGTGATAACAAGCTTCAGGGACCCATTCATGTATCTAATGAAACAGCCCCTGGTCTGGTCTTGACAGGTTAAAGAATGCAAATTTTTGCCGATCAAGGTGGTGATTCTCATTGGATTTACAATGAGCGAGGTAATTATTGGTCAAACTTTTTCATCTTCTTATGTTATGTAGCTCTTATTCTCACCTGAAATTCTATCATAGGGGCCATAGTAAGGTCATGTTTGATGAAAAACATTTTCAATACCTCACTATTTTGATATTCAATCTTCCATTCAAGAAGATGATTCATTGTACTTTCACTAGAAAATGATTGTGTTTCCCTTGTGTCTATTATCTTTTGTTTAGCTGAGAAGTTTAATTTTTATATGATTCCTTTGTTTTGTTTGTAAGGTGGTTTTGATGGTAACTCCATGAAGGTAGTTGAGTTATTGTTCAACAATGGGTTCAAAAGCTTCAAAGTATATATCCATTTGCCAAATCCAAAATCCTCATTGTAAAAGTCAACACAACTACTGGATAAGGGCTGCCATTTTCGTATTTACCCTGGGCGAAACAATTTGCAGAGTAAAGTGCATATGCAGCACCCTTACGCATACAACACTTTATCCAGAAAAATATTATCACCATTCAAAACTTAATTGGAAAAAAGAAAGAAACAACCCTTAGTCTACTTGTAGTTATGTTTTCTGTTCAAAAATTCTCAGAAAAATGACTACTTTTTGAACAATGATTTATTCACTATTGTTTGGCTGTTGATGGTTCTGAATGGGATAACCAACTTAAGAAGCAACATTAGAAATGTCCATCATCGATTCAGATACTAAATAGAAGACAATGTCTCAAATTGGGAATAGATTCGGTTAGTTCCACTTCCTTTAATCAATTTTCATTTGTCCTCTTTGTGAAAAAAAATCAAAAATGCATGTTTGATTAATGATGATGTTTCCTCACTTTCTTCTTACAGTCATTACTAGATGTGGATAAAGTTAATGCTTCACATGTATCACCATGTGACATTGTTGCTGTCATTCGTCCTGCTATTTATAAGTATGGGATTGCATGTGAAGAATTAGATCAAAAATATGTGATGAAAGATAACTTTGAGATGTCATTATCAGTTACATTTTCTAAAAATGGAAATGAAACCAATATCTATTTAGGACGTGTAACGCCTTCATCACGAAAGGACCTACATGGTTTGTATATATTTCAACCAAAACGCAATTGCCATCGTCTGTTTCAAAAAGTTGGAATTTATACATTCACCTTTTCCATTGTGAATAACATTGAATTGCTTTAATGTATATATAATCACATGGCTTTACAATCATATCATTTTGTTAATGATTAGCATTTACATATTTCTATCATCAGAGAGATTCAAGATGTGAGAAACATGTGGTGAAGGTCAAAGTTGAAGCATCGTGTGAGGTCCACAAATGGGCACTTGCCAAGAAGCTTCCTGATTATAATGTCACGTAAGAAAAATATAATTTATGTGTGCATTTTTATAAAATCTAATACCTCATATATATATATATATATATATATATATATATGTGTGTGTGTGTGTGTGTGTGTGTGTTTCACAGGTATTTACCATTTCAACTGATGACTTTTGACTTCAAGGGTGTTGATATTCTCATAGGTTCATACTTCTAACATTTATACTTATATTTGTTATGCAACAGGAAAGTATTGGTTTAATCAAGTCAATTTCTTAATATATTAAAAGAATTTGTGGTGTACTATAATAGATGACAAGGCTGCTGGACATTCTAGAAATGGTATTCAGTTCAAAGGATAGTACAATCACAGATGAAGATATCGATAGAATCATTACTAAGGGAGAAGAGGCAACTGCAGAACTTGATGCCAAGGGGTCGGCTTAACCCAGCCCCAGCCCCTGCCACCGATGAACATGAGGCCTTAAACCCAAACTCTGACTGTGGTTCACCTGTTATGAAGAAACAACGAGTGAGCCTTAGCCAAGGGGTCGGCTTAACTCACCAAGTACTCGACTCCAGCTTAAGGCAACATCCGATTGTGTATGGAATGTCGGTTAACCATCAAGATTAAAAATTAAGCTGAGCCAGTTGAAATTGGAATTTGTCCCAGGGAGATTGTTTTCTACTTTGTGCAGTTTCTTTATAGAAATATGTATAATATAAATTATGTTTCATTAGGTGGGATGGGTTTGGGTGTGGTAATACTCTTAAAACTTGTAATTCATGTTATGATGCCAAGACAGATTGGAAGACAAAGCACAGAACTCCATCAAATGTGTGAAGTAAGATTCTTATCTTAATTCATAAAACAATAGTCTTTTTATTTCTTTTCTTTTCTTTCTTCTGAGCTCTCATTGGCCAAAATCTATGAGATACTAATTCTTTTATTTATTTATTTGTAAATCCCATCTCACCTTTTAGTTTTTGTGTTTTTGTTGTTGTTGGGAGCTTCAAAAATAGTCTACACCAGAAGACATTGATGATTTGGATGATGTGGATGCAGTTATAAGCTACATGCCACAAGATTTCAGAGGAACATTAATCACACAAGAATAAGAAAGGTCTGAAAGAAATAAGCAATCAGAAGTTGATGCTTTGGTAAATTCAGGTGGTACCATACGTGACAATAGAGTGTATTTTTTGTATCTAATTCGTTTGAAATTTTTGTTACAACTTCTATTGATTTGTTTTATATTTCCATGGAACGATTATTTGTATGACATTAAATTTATGCAATGGATTCTATTTTTTGTATATGATATTTTTTTTTCTATTATGAAACATTAAATACAAATTCAATTTGAAAATAAGTAAATCTATAAATAATGTTTTTTTAACCATTTAAAATTATGATACGCAAAAACGTGTGTCATCTTCATTTACGACATGGCCATTCTTGACAGCGGCTTTCTTGATACGCATTGCGTGTCATTAACACGTGCGTCGTAAGGTTACAACACACAAATGCGTGTCGTCTTCCTTTATGACACAGCCTTCCTTGATACGCATTGTGTGTCGTAAACGTGCGTCGTAATTGCACGTCGTAAATGAGCGTCGTAAATGCACGTCGTCTCTCTTTATGACAAGGCCTTCCTTGACGCGCATTTGCGCGTCGTCTAAGGCTTTTACGACGCGCAATGAGCGTCGTAAAAGGCTGTTTACTAGTAGTGATTTTTGATATCGTCAAACAAATTAATCAAGCATTTGAGCTTACAACGTCGTAATTTTGTAGATCTAATGTAGAGTTTTGCCATCTCTTTGGAATAGAAATTCTCTCATGAAAAATCACCTTTGAGCTTCTTGAAGCCCAGATTTTAGCAGAAGGACCAATCGAAGAACCAAAACTTGGTTACATCTACTTCAAGAAGAAGACAAATCAAAAGTAATTTTTCAAGTGATTGACAAATATCTCATTCCTACCAAGATTCCTCAGAAGTTCATCTTTAATGCTTCCAATATTGCTTCCTTCGAACACGTCAAGAACAAGATCATTGAGTATCTCAAATGGTACATCGATGTCCGAAGTCGGCTCCAAAGTGCTTATCTATTTGTGTTTGATGAAGCTAAGTGATGAGTCAAATGATTGCTAAGGTCACTTAGGGAAGACTATTGATACATGAAAAGTGATCCTATAGCAATCCAAGATAAACATGTCTGAAGTGAGAGTCTTCCGAGATGGAGTTACTTCTGAAGTGAATTTCAGTCTGAGATGCAACTATTTTCATTTGTTATTTTAAGTCTATAATGTGCAATTAGTGTTCCAAGTAATACTTTGTTCTATATTTGTTTCTTGATTGTATAGTACAAGGGACAAGATCAACAGAAGAGGTTGCATCAGATTTTTGATCTTCAGATGTCTTTTAGTCCATGCACATTATCAGATATTTCTTAATATCACTCCTTATTTAAGGAGTTGTGACCTTATGTTATGTACGCATGAGTGAAACATTCACATTTCTTATCAATATTAAGAATCATTCAATCAATCATTCTCTCTATCATTCTTAGTGTTCTTGAATTTATTTACATTGTTCATATTTATTATTTATTTATTTGGAGCACTTTGTTGAAGTTCTTAATTCTGAGAAAAAACTGGTTTACCAGAATTGACTGGACCTTTATTAGTAGCAGACATTGATCTTAAGTTAAATCAAGGTTTGAGTTTTCAAACCTTGTCCATGTAGATCTTTTCTTTCATAGGAGGGTGCTATAAGAATAATTTGAAAGGAAGGAATTCAAAAACGAAATCTAATTTAAATGGGGGAGAGTTGTAACACCCATTTTTTAGCTAGAGTAGATCAACTAAAAACTTAATGGGGTCAAAGAGGGTGGTTTTTTCGGGGAAAAACTATATGCTATGACATAGAGTATGTGTTGCCATGATGTGACAATATCTGTATAAGCGCGTTTCAATCTTGTGTGTCATGACATGACAAGCCTTTGGACACTAAATGACGACCCCTTAGATTTAATTGAGACTGATGAATCGGGATTGAAATCAGTATATATAGAGGGGTCCTCCCTCCATTTTTCCTTGAACCATTTCTCACCAACTTCTCTCTACCTTGCACGAAATCTCTTCCTTTCTCATATGCCAATCTATACCGATCGGAACCCCCATCGTCCATTGACCGTCGACACGCCAAAAACAAAGAGCGAGTCTGAAAGCCGGCTACCACCCTTCTTTCTTGTGACTAACCTTCAGCGAATCCCTGTCTGACCACACTCCTTCGATTAGCCACCTACGACGAGTTGAACGTCTCTGACAACCGCTAACCACCACTGATCGCCGCACGGTCACCATCAACAAAATCTTTTTTGGCTAATTTTTGGGCAGTTCCGATCAAGCTACGATTGAGTATTATTCACCGATCAAAGTTACAATTCATCGGGCTACAAAAATGTTGTATTTCAAAAAGTCGTAATCTCTTCGGTATCTTGCATGTGCTTCAAACAAGTGAGTGTAACGACCCCATTTTCAAATTTTTATCCTTTTCGAGGCAGGGGGATACATACAATAAATCGTATTATTTCTATTAAGCACATAAAAATGTTATTTAAACTATATCAAAACTTTGTTTAAACAATGGATATAGTAGGATTGTATTGGAAGAGATTTATCTTAATACCAAATTCATTAGTAATAATATGGAACATCAAATTAAGGAATGATTGTAATATTGTGTATTGCTACGAGAATAATAACCAAAAAACTTTTTATAAAAGTTAGGGTTATTAATATATTTCAAATTCATGTGAGCCTTTTTCATCAAACTAAGGATCCCTCTACTTAGAAGACCTTTGGTATATAACCGTTAATTCTGAAGGAGTGGGATAATTACATATAGATCTATATGGGTTGACACATTTACATGTGGTTGCTAGCTACATCATGGAAGATAGAGTCACACCAGTGATACTTATCTTTTTATTATTTTAACACTCTGATGAAGAGATAGGAGAGGCATATCAGTCGGAAATAGCTCAGTTATAGGACCTCACAGTGAACATTAATATATGTATAGGAAACTTGAAATACCTATAGACATTACAGGATTATTTTTGTATCAAGAACTTAGTTATGAAAACGTAGAATAAGAAAGATACCTTATATATATATATATATATATATATATATATATATATATATATATATATATAGGATAAGAAACTATCAGTATATCCAATTAATGCTTTGTGTTCTCAAAAAGTACTTATCAACTCTAATATGACTATACTTTATTAAGAAAGTATATTTTGGTTTAGTATTAAAAACCTTTAAACTCACCAACTCTTTAGTTTACACTTCTTGAAAACAAATTTACTCTCAGGGAATTAAACTGTTGGAAGACATACTACAAGGATGATCAAGGGATTGTAGTCGTCTTTTAAATTTCAATATTTCCCTTTCTTTCCTATTGTTATGGCTTATTTTGTATCTTTCAATTACATTTACCCTAGACTAATGGATATTGTAATATATTATTTTCAATGAATAAAAGTATCTATTCTACTATCATATTGTTGTATGTTCAGTGTATGCTTATTACTGTTATACACGACACCGTTCCATCAGCGGCAAGGGGTGTGACTATATAACAATGATATAATATACATGCATATATTCATCTCCACATACCTTAACATCAACCTATATCACAACATTATACTATAAAGTTTAGTATAATTCACCTCTTTGAAGAAAATGACAACCAACTTCCAAGTTTCTTCAAACCTTCTTGTGGAGAACTCTAACTCCTATTTTTTCACTACCTATACCATTCATACATATTAAGCTCCCATTTAAACATGCCTTAACCCATTAAGAGCTCAATAATATTTATAGCCATACTCTCATATTTTAAGTGGAACTTTTTATCCTTTGTCAATAAACCTATTAAACTACCCTAATCAAGCTTCTCAACACTTAATCTAATAAGTTCTTAACACACATTAACCATTTCATGATTTTACAAAGCTAGAGTTTCAAACCATAATAATAAAAACATGAATTTAACCATATAAATTCAATATAAATCATGTATTAAGCTTCTAAACACATGATTTAACGTTACTAACAAGTTATTCTTGACTTATCTTCCTTAACTAGTTAAAATCACCTAAACACCATTAAAGCCTTAAAATTTTTGAAAACGAAGAATATGATACCTCAAACATTTCCATAATTACTCTTGGTTGTCCTAACAACCTTCTTTAAGCTCATAATCGTTGAAGCTTCGATCTAGGTAGTTTGGGGTGTTGGAGAGAAAATAAGTCATAAACGATACATTAATGAATCTGTGGTTTGAATCTATTTATGTTGTAGCGACCATTACCAAATAATAACCTACTTTGGCCACTATACATCATGCACCCATATTCTATGGTGTAACTTATTTCGATTGTTGTTTGATTGTTCATTTCATTTAAATGCTTGGAACTTTTGCATTTGAACTTCGTTTCTGGCATCGCTTATATCCACAAAATCGTATTCTCATGTTCTATCTATTTACTGTGTTATCTATGCATAATAATACTTAATATATAAAACTTTTTTCAATGTATCAAATCATTACTTATATATAATGACTAGTGTTTTTTTGCCAACGATCTATATCCATCAAATACTTGAGTGTGTTCCACATGCATTTCCAAGTATAAAAATTTTGATTCAATTAAAATGAGTGGAATATATTACATTAGGTCATTATTTGTTTGTGGTTTTTTGATTAATTAACTTTTACCTAATTATCCAGATTATCACATAGTAGGCTGTAAATGCATCTTCAAGAATAAGACCAACATCGATGGGAATGTACACACATTCAAATTTAGGTTGGTGGAAAAAGGTTATACTAAACTCAAGGAATTAATTATAAGGAAATGTTTTCACCAATAGATACATTAAAGTCCATTAGGGTACTTCTTGCCATAGTTGCCTTTTATGTTTATGAGGTATAACAAATAGATGGTAAAATGATTTTCCTTAACGGGGAACTTTTAGAAGATGTGTACATGCCACAAACGGAAGGGATTGAACTTGCCAAGTATCCAAA